AAAAAGGAAGAGCACGTCCATGATAATGATTTCAATTTTATTGTCTAATTATCTCTCCATTTTGCGATTGTCATTATCTTTATCTAATTTGAGCATAATAACACAGTAGATTTTTATTTTCTATTGTAAGAACAATAACAGAAGAACACAGTCTCCACTCTCAAACATTGATTAAATATAGGTAGATTAACTATTTCGATAGCAAACAGAGTATGACATACACTCTTGAATTAATCTTTTTAGTTGTCAGATATGTATGTATCAATCCATAAGCGAAGGCCTGGCGATAGCAAAGTGATGATGGATGGAGATGTTATGATACTAGAACTAATACATGTAATGTATACAGAGAATCCATGATGCTTATTTCAGCTTAATCATGACAGCATAATATGATAACATCATTACATGCTAACGCAAGATTTCGATGCGACTAACTACAAAGGAAAACATGACACACTTTAGCACTTACCGGCAGTTCATGTCGTTGTTTGCCATTTGGATTTGAGCTTCGCAAGCGTAACTGCAAACTGAACATAGATCCAGTCAATGGTCTTGTCGATCCGTCGGAAGAAAGCGAATCTGATGGCCTGCTTCATGATGAGCGTGCCGATAAACAGCCAAAAGCCAACCACAAATCCAACCACAATACCGGTGTACTCCAATAATTTGTCGAGCTTGTCGTCGTCTTCATGTTTAACTCGTGCGTCAGGTGGAGTTTGATAAACAGGGCAATCTGGCAGTGGCGTACCGCAAAGGTCTTTGTTACCCACATATGTCCATGAGTCAAAGGTCGACAATTGACCACTCGTTGGTATTTTTCCTGATAAGTTGTTATAAGACAGATTCAAACGAGCCAGAAAATTCATTGCAGAAAAGCTCGAAGGTATCTCCCCTGTGAGACTGTTCACTGATAAGTCAAGCGATTCCAATATTTTCATGTCACCAATGTTTTTTGGAATCCTCCCCGTCAAATGATTGTTGGATAAGTTTAGGAAGCGCAATCCGAGAAGCTTTGTCAGTTCTTTTGGGATTTCACCAGAGAGATGATTATTTGACAAGTCTATGCATGTCACCAGCCAGAGAATGGTTGTGTACTCAACCATTGATCCCTTTGTTGTGACTAAGATGCTCTCGTTGTAAGAATAGTTATCTTCAAGCAATGACCTCGTATCGTTTTGTACCTCAATCATGGCAGTGAAATTTCCTAGAGATGATGGTAGGCTACCAAATAAATTGTTGGAAGAAAGATCCAAAACCTGAAGAGAAGTGAGATTCACTATGTTCTCGGGGATAACACCATATAATAAGTTTGACCTCAACCGAAGAACCTTCAATGATGAGAGGTTTCTTCCTATCCATTTCGGAATTTTATCAAATAATTTATTTTCACCTAAATCAAGGGTAATTAATTTGTTACAGTGTTTTAAAAATGAAGGAATCATTCCGGATAGATTGTTATTATTTAAGTGCAGAGATTCCAAAGAGGTTGGAAATGAGTTATGACAATCCGAGATTTCTCCAATTAAGTGATTGTTAGATAGATCGAGAACTCCAAGTGAGTTCATATGACAAAAGAAGGAAGAGAAATCACCACTTGTTGGTATTCTCCCAGATAATTTATTATCACCAAAATCAAGGATAATTAAGTGTGAACAATGTCTCAGAAACGAAGGAATTATTCCAGACAGATTGTTATTATTCAAATGAAAATATTGTAGAGAGGTAGGGAATGAGTCATGACAAATCGGGACTTCTCCAATTAAATGATTGTTAGATAAGTCAAGAATTTGAAGTGATTTCATTTTGCAAAAGAAGGGAGGAAAGCCACCACTTATATGATTATGAGACAAAAATAATTGAGAGAGACTCATAGCTTTTGCGAAGCTCGGGGGAATGGGTCCAGCAAATGAGTTATTGGAGAGATCCAATATCGATTGGGGAGCAAAAGGTAATTGACCTTGCAAATTGTTAGAGCCCATGTCAAGATTCTGCAACCCTCTTGAGAAATTTGCAAACCAAACCGGGAGGTTGCCGTAGAGTCCAACTTGACGTAGATATAGAAATGTTAATCGTGTCTGAGTTTGAAGCCAAGCAGGCAATTCAGCTCTTAAATGAGAAAAACTCATGCCAAGATATTTGACATTAAATGGGGGATGCCAATCATTTGGTAGGATTATGTCAAAGGAGTTGAAAGATATTTCTAATGCCATTAAGTTTGTGAGATTAGAAAAATGTGCTTCGGTGATGTTACCTACCAAAGAGTTTGAGGAGAGGAATATATCTCCTAATCGAGATAATTGACCCATACTTGAAGGAATAGTGCCGCTTAAATGGTTAACCTGCATATATAAGGCAAGTAAAGATGCCCCTTGTGCGCAGGTGGATAAACCATCAAATAGATCGGTTAGCTCCCCACTAATGTTGTTAGAAACCAAATCCAGCACGGTCAAGTTGCACAGACTACCCATAGTTTTTGGTAGCGGACCTGATAAATTGTTGTGTGATATGTCCAAGTGCAGCAAGCTATGGAGTCTACCAATCGTATTTGGTATTTGCCCAGTAATGGAGTTAAAATCAAGAATCAACAACTTCAAATTTTGGAGACCCCCAATAGTTTCTGGTATCTGTCCAGAAATAAGATTATCCTCTAAAGATAACATCTGCAGATTTTGAAGACCTCCAATGGATTTTGGTATCTGTCCAGATTTTGAAGACCCCCAATGGTTATATAATATTTTAAATATAAAGTTATATTTTAAATTATATTTTAAATTGAACATTTGCAGATTTTGAAGACCCCCAATGGTTTCTGGTATTTGTCCAAAAATACGATTGTCAGACAAATATAATATCTTCATATGGATGAGAGTACCCAAGGTCTTTGGAATGCATCCGACAATTTTGTTCCATGATAAATCTAATCCAACTAGGTTAGTGAGGTTGCCGATGCTCTCTGGTATTTTTCCGTTGATGCCATTATAGGACAAATCTAGGTACTCCAATCGGACAAAATTTCCTACGGTTGGTGGAATTTCTCCACCGATTAAGTTGTACCCCAAGTCTAAATGTCGTAAGTTTGTGAGATTCGCCAGCAAAGCTAAGAGATGTACCTTGAAATAAAAATTCCGATGTAAGTCTAGGTACTCCAGGCGTCTCAGTCTCCATAGAGTTTGTGGAATATCTCCGGATAAACCATTGTTGCTCAAGTCTAGATGCTTGAAGTCCCTGCTACTGACATTGTTCAGAATTCCAAGAATTGTTCCTTGAAGGGAGTTGTACGACAAATCCAATCCCTTCAGATTACTGAGAGCTCCTAGAGCAACTTGTAGCGACTCGATAGTGAGACTCCGACAGCCAGAAAGAAGGAGGTACTCGAGGCTGGTGGCGTTAGAAAGCCATCTTAGCATGGCAGACGGGATGTTGGAATTCCAAGACAGATCCAACGTAGCAATGGATGTTAGATTGAAAGGGGGCAAAGGAGATGGAACATATGGCAGGTCTACATAAATCAAATGTAGCACTTCAAGTGTGGAGATTGAATTAATTATGTAGAACCAATTGGTTGCTTCGGAGAGGTTGACATAACTCATGTCAAGATATTTTAGAGAAGGAATACGGGAGAGCCAATCGAGATCATCAACATGTAGAAAATCATCATAATACCATCCGTGAAGGTCGAGATAGTGTAGGTTTGAGAGGTTCCCCAACTGAGGAGGAATCAGTCCATCGAACGTGGCATAAGATAGGTTGAGATATTCCAAGTGGACTAGTGAAGCGATCATTTTGGGCACAGGGGCGTAGGAGAAGTTATTCATGCTCAAATCCAAATACTTCAAATGCTTCAATTCTTGCAAAGATGGATTTACCTTGCTGACGCCTATTGTATCCCCGTCGTTGAACACATCCCACATATCGGTTGTGTATAAGTATGGGTCTGGGTATATGAATGTGTATGTGTCGTGGTAGCTGAGGTCGAGCTTGGTGACATGGCCGGTGGTGTGGTCGCAGGCCACACCTCTCCACCCACAGCAGTCTTTGCCGGTCCAAGAAGAAAACCTGTCGCCGGGGTCGTACATATCGGATTTGATGGCGAGGAGAGCTCTCCTCTCGCTCTCCATGCAACTGCTGTTGATTCCCTCCACCTCCACATGATCCTCATCGCCGAAGCCATGGCCGAGGCAGCAGGAGACGAGAAGTAAGGCCACGAGCATCATGAGACGCTTCGAGGCAATACGTCCGCACTGGAAACTGCCGCTACCAGCTGCAGCCATCGATTGAACGCTCAAGAGAAGAGAAAAGTGAAGGTGTGAGGTTGGAGAGGAGAACTCTGTGGGCATGTATATATAGGCACATCACCACCGGAATTTGAGCGTTCATTACCAGCGTTGCAAGTGTGACACAAACTTCCATCCATCTTTCAATAGAGCAGGCAAATATGATATACATGTTGATTTCATTGTTCTTTTCTCTTTTTAAGGTGATTCTAGGAGGTTCTTAAGTAATATATTTCTATGTTGATTTTGTAATCGAATATAACATGGTACATGTATGAGTATAATGACATAAAGCTTATTCAACTCAATTTTAACATAGAAGATAAATACAACATTAAATAGTAATTTCATTGGGTTTTCTAATTTTAGATGATTTTATAGATTTTGTTTTTAAATGAAACTCGGATAGATTAACACTATAAAACTATGTAAAAATCCCTAAAATAAAGAGCATACTTGTTATGATCGATTTTTCTGAATTTGCTCTACGATAACACCGAATTTGCTCTCGAGTAAATTCGGAACAAAGAATGCTCTACGATAAATGCTAATTATGATTGATTTTTGTGAATAAATGGTGTAAAAATATTTTTATAAAGGGATGTAAATGTTTATGTTCCCTACCTGCAAGTCAAGAAAGACTATCGGTTTTGGAAAGTATGAATTTCTGAGGACGTGATGAATGGTTTGATACGGATGGAATGGGATGGAAGAGGCAAATCTTCCAATGATAAGTCACGATGCGATGATTTCCATGTGGTGTGAGGTTGGAGGGAAGTCATTTGCAACTTATCGTGTTGCTCAGGCACAAGTCAACATGATTGAGACACATATCTATCTCTTGGAGACTTCGATGCATACCACGGTCAAAATATAAGATGTGAGGGTTGGTTGATTAATATGTGAGACTTGGGTGTTTCATGAATATTGGAGATTTAGACGTGAAGAGTTTAACCATGAAATAAAAACTCAACTCATGATAAAGATGTAAGAGTTGAATGATTCATTAACGTCGGAGATTTTGTTGATCAGTCAATCGGAGTCATATTTACTCAATTATTATAAATGAAGTTCTAATTTATTCACTAATAATGTAGTATGGATATACATTTTCCTACCACGAGAAGAGTAGTTAGGACTTTTACATGCCACTTACTAAGTGTCGACATCGATTTTGATTATCTGTTACGTTTATCAATGTTATAGAACTAAATTCTTTCGAGATAACCTCTGTACCAAGTTTAGTATCATGATAAAATGACTCAATCAAATGATCTTCCATGTGGTGTGAGGTTGGAGGGAAGTCATCTGTACTTATCGAAGCTTCTATCATGTGGTTGAAACACAAGTCAAAAGCTTGCATAGTAACGTGTTGCTCGGGCTCAAATCAACGTGATTGAGACACACAACTGTCTCTCGGAGACTTATAAAAATCAGTATCATTATCTTTCAACACATGAGGAGTCTATAATAACTTTGAGACGGATAACTAATTATGAAGCATTTTTAATAGGCATTTAATGCCTTTGCCCTTCTTGTATGGGCAGTTTGATACTTGAATGAATTTACATTCGTTTTCCAAGTTCAACAAACAAGCAGCAGTGTCTTCAAGGCAAAGCAACACCAAATGATCATACGTGACTCAAAAACACTAGAACACACAAATTCATGGAATATATATACATTGACAATCTTAGCACTTAGCCACAGTTCAGTTTATTCTGTCATTATTTTGGTCTTCAGCTTTCAACCGCACATACATCCGTCCAGCCATAGATGTTGTCGATTTGTTGGAAGAGAGCAATCCTTATGCCTTGTTTCATTATCACTGTACCAATAGAAACCCCACAAGCCAACTATGAATCACATGAGGATACTAGTAACATCTAATATTATTGTTTCAAGCTTATCACCATCATCATCTTCTTCTAGTTTGACTCCTGCATCATCTGCTTTTATTATAGGAACACCAAAACAGCAGCATATTTGATAACTTATGCATGGCATTCCAATAACACCTAAAACAAAGCTCTGCATGTCCTGCAAAATGTGACTTCCAGGAAAAAGAAACAAAAAAAAAATCCTACAGTTAAAAATACTGAAACAATCATACATAACATAAAATGTTGATCTGCCAAAAAAAATTCATTCAAGAAACATAGAATATCTTTCTTAAGATAATTATATAATCAAATGTCTCGAGCTTTAGCACCCGAATGATAGGCACATCACCACCGGAAATCCCCATGACATCTGCGCACATTCCCTGTAGATTTGAACCCGTGGCGAGCACGCACTCAAAGGTCAATCATACTTTGACTTTAGTGTGGCAAAGATGCAAGTCAAAGTCAAGGGCCCCCACTTAGTTCTGATGTGAGGATGGATAACTTCCACTCACGAAGCAACCACATGATAGAAGCTGCGAAGCACTTAATTCTAATGTGAGTGAGAGTCGGACGATTCATGAAATTTGGAGAGGGCCCTAATTTCCTAAATGTCTACATCGATTTTGATTGACTGTCACGTTTATAGATATTACACAGCTAATCTCCTTCGAGATAACCTTTGTCCTAAGATTAGTATCAGAATGAAAGGGTTTGATGAAATGATGTGGATGAAAGCTAAATCAGAAGCTTACTCGACAACACCACGAGAATCACGTGAGGCTAATGCGCAGTTAGAAGTCAAGAAAACTTAATTATGATGTGAGGGTTTCATTGAGCGTTCATTTACAAAAAAAAAAAAAAAGGGATATAAATGTTTACGTTCCCGATCGGTAAGTCAAGGAGACTATCGGTTTAGAAAGAATGGATTTTTGATGATGTGATGAATGATTTGATATGAATGAAATGGGATGGAAGAGGTGAATCTTCCAAGGATACGTCATGACGCCTTAATTTCTATCTTATCGTAGCGTGAGGTTGGAGGGAAGTCATCCATACTCTCCGAAGCTTCTATCATGTGGTTGAGACGCAAGTCGAAGTCTTACATTTTTATCGTGTTTCTCGGACCCAAACGTATGTGAATGAGACATAAATCTGATGCCACTGAGAGTTGATTGATTAATATGAGAGATTTGGGAGTTCCACGTGTGTTGGATATTTAGATGCGAAGAATACTAATCAACTCATGATAAAGATGTGAGAGTTAGAACAAAAACGAAAGTTGACCAATCAACTTCCTCATCTTTACAACTGTTGCAATGAGATTAAAAGATGGACCGACGACAAAGATTGATGAACAAATGTTTTGTCTAAGAATAACTTTAGTTCGATTTGGGCTCATTTGCCAGAGTAGCCATAGTTAAGTTTCTCTTTAACTTACGAATGTGCCATATCTTTACCAATGTTCTTATAATCATGTCACGTCTTGATTTTAATTTATCCCGTTTGGATGATCTAACACGATGAGTTTTTCCCATAAGCACATCTCTTTCTTCTTGGGTGAGTTCATAAGTGGAGAACTAACATCGATATTGTATCATATGAAACAAATATACGGAGTCCAAAAGCCACCCATCTTGTTGCCTGGTGGCATATGGAGGCCATAAGCACCTCAATCTCATTCTCTTAGTTTGTGCACAAGGATTCGACATTTTGATTGTTGCATTTTTTTTTTAAAGCTCAACAGTCTGCTTTGATGTGGCCTTTCCTTTTGGAATAGTAACACTGAATGTTCTTTGATCTAGATTTGGCTATAGATATACTTCTGTTTCCTTTCCTAAACTCACATCTCTCTATGAAGTTTAAAGCTTCAGCGTGACTTTTGGAGGTTTCCATTGTCAACTATAAGTCTATAACTTCTTTTGACATTATGGTTGAAATCATAATATCTAGAGAAACGATACTCTTTCAATATAAAATTATTTTCAAAAAGTTTTTATATAAAAATTGTAGTTTCGTGGCAATATCGTAAAGTGCTTCATTGGATATGCACATAAATAAAGTTACCATAACACTTTGATCAATTTTACTTTTTCTTCGTTGATGTTTGTTATTTTTTCTAAGGTGTTCTTACGTTTCTCCTTTATTCAGATAACCTTCATCTTTACCGTCCATAGAGAATAGTTGATATTTCGATCCACTTTTTTGATCTAATATCTTATGCCTATCGATGAAGCCCGGTAACCTGATAATCTAGTAAAGAGGCTCAAATACCACATGTTGAAAGGATTAGTAGATTACATAACTATAAGATATAAATCGAGTCGATGAAAAAATTGAATGATTAGATACAAAACAAGAGTGATTTAAACATGGTTCAGATTACTGACATAAATAGTAAGTCCATGTCCACGAGAAGAAAAAAAATCCCAATAAAAGACTTGAATCATAGGAGTGTTGCAACACTGACTTCCTTTAAAAAAAAACATCTAAAATTTACCAAATAAACCAAAAATACAAAATTACCCCTGTCAAAATCAATGTTGACCAGGGTTGACCAGTCAGATTCCTCTTCTTCCTCTTCTCCGCAGGTGCTGCAACGAGCACAGTGACCGGCCGGCGACGGAGATCGGCGACCGGACTTCTCTCCGGAGAAGAACTTTGGTCGGATTTGGGCTCCTTACTCACTTCTCCTCTCTTCCTCTCTCTCCTTGTTCTCTCCTTCGCTTCCCTCGCTGTTGTTCCCCAAAGCTCCAATTATAGGAGCAAGGCGGGCGACTGCGGCTGCGGCGGACGACTTCGGCGACTGTGGCTGCGGGGGCCGGTGCGGGCACACGGGGAGGCGGCAATGAAGACAGCGGGCTGCGGCCGCGGGGAGGACTGCGAGCGAGAAACGCCCCCGCGTGCGGCGGTGCACTGTGTGAACGTAGGCGCGGGGAACGGCTGCTGCGAGGAACGCAGGTGGGGCCGGTGAGAAGTTGACTTCGGTCAACATCCTAGTTGATTCAATTCGAGCCCCAATCCGACTCAATTTTGAGTCCGTTCCCAAACTTATCGAGGAAGAATATTGAGGATAATATAAAGAAAGAGTCCCATGCTAATATGAATATCGAG